ATTTGGATTTTTCAGTGATCATTGCTTGGTTAGTGAATTTGGATTTTTCAGTGATCATTGCTTGGTTAGTGAATTTGGATTTTTCAGTGATCATTGCTTGGTTAGTGAATTTGGATTTTTCAGTGATCATTGCTTGGTTAGTGAATTTGGATTCTTTAGTGATGATCTTCAAACAAATGAATTTGGATTTTTTAGTGACCATCGTTAGGCAATCAAAATCATATTGCAACTCTTTTTTGTGAAAAAAAGGTAAAGAATTATGACAGTGAAGCAAACTTTTAAGGGAAGTGGGACATTTTTATCATCGAAAAGTGATGATTTCCGTTATCAGATCCAGTCTATGGATTAGCGTAGATAAGAACGAATTCAAAAATAATCAGTTTATTATGATTACATGGCTTTTTTCGAGAATTTAAGGTGATAATAGGAAATCAAGGTCTGAGGTCGGATCAATTTTATCCGCTCTCCATTGAAACCTATGGAAAATCATACCTCGGTTAACGAACATTTCGGTTAACGACGGTTTTTCAGGAACCGATCATCGTCGTTAACCGAGGTACCACTGTATNCGTTAGGCAATCAAAATCATATTGCAACTCTTTTTTGTGAAAAAAAGGTAAAGAATTATGACAGTGAAGCAAACTTTTAAGGGAAGTGGGACATTTTTATCATCGAAAAGTGATGATTTCCGTTATCAGATCCAGTCTATGGATTAGCGTAGATAAGAACGAATTCAAAAATAATCAGTTTATTATGATTACATGGCTTTTTTCGAGAATTTAAGGTGATAATAGGAAATCAAGGTCTGAGGTCGGATCAATTTTATCCGCTCTCCATTGAAACCTATGGAAAATCATACCTCGGTTAACGAACATTTCGGTTAACGACGGTTTTTCAGGAACCGATCATCGTCGTTAACCGAGGTACCACTGTAAAATGTAATGTAATTTCGAATTGCGTTTTTTATATGATAATGGTTCGATTCTAATCTATATGGTCGATAATTTTTTTTTTNGATTGCCATCTAACGGTGCCCGTTAGACATTATACATTATCAATGGGCAAGTGAAATAAAATGTAATGTAATTTCGAATTGCGTTTTTTATATGATAATGGTTCGATTCTAATCTATATGGTCGATAATTTTTTTTTTTGTTTTGACAAGGATTTCTGTTTTGCACTAATTTGTACTTATTTAAGTATAATTAGACATATTTATAGCTATTATCAATTTGTTAATGTTACAATTTGGTGATCATAAGATTGACATTGCCAAATATCGTTATTTTATCATCATCATTTTTTGTGGTCTATGTGATGAGATTTGTACTTAAGATTTAATTTGAACTTGGCAATATTAGGATATAAAAGAATACTATGGTTACCAATTTCAACTCATAACGCATTTAAGTTTTTCGTTTGTTTATTTTGTTTTCGTTTGTCAATGGAAATCAATCCGATTTATTTGCTGGGCCAAATTGCCCTAATCACAGCAATAACAACTCCTATCATCTATTACATGTAAGTATAATGTCAACAGGTCTCTCAGCAAAAAAAAACAAATCTAATTTGGTCTTTATACTTGTCAAAGATATTCACAATATCGATTTAGTTATTGGAAACGAAATGGAATTCGTGGTCCAAAACCCATGGCATTTATTGGAAATATATTTCCAGCAAAAAAACCATTAGCATTGATGCAATTAGATTACCAAAAACAATTTGGCAATATTTATGGGTAATTTGTCTGTTTATTTAGCCATAAGATCGATTTGAATGTTTTTTTTGGATACAGCATTTATCGTGGACTAGAACCAACTTTGGTCGTATCTGATCCGGCAATTATCAAACGAATTCTTGTACAAGATTTTCACCTGTTTCGTAATCGTAATGCACCAATCAAATCAAGTAATGTGGCATCACAAAATCTGGCATCCGCTTGTGATGATAAATGGAAACGAATACGATCAATATTGTCGCCAATGTTTACTACATCGAAATTACGTAAAATGGAAACTCTTATGTCGCAATGCATTGATTCGCTTATGAATGCTTTGGGCAGAATTGCTGATGAGAAAAAATCGTTTCAAGTACACGATGTAATGGGAAATTTTACAATGGATGTGATTGCTAAATGTGCTTTTGCAACGGAAACAAATGCTCATGATGATAAAGAAAATCAATTTGTCAAAAAAGCTCGTTCAGTATTCGATGTAAATTTTGTTGCTGGTGTTTCTCGTTTTTTGTTGCCACAATGGTTGTTGGATTTTTTACGCATAATTCATGCTCCATTTTTTAACGCTGGTGCTAGTCGATTTTTTTCCGATACCTCTTATCATCTAATTCGACAACGACGTAATAATCCGGATATTAAATTCGATGATATGCTTCAATTGATGATCAAAGCAGAACATAAACCTGAACAATTTAACGATGAAGATGATAAATTTGATAGCCATCATGTTAATGTTGGTAAGTTGGATTAAAGCATTTGTAATGATCGTCATACAATCAATATTACTCACTAACTTATTCATCATAGGCGAAGAAGAAAAACAACAAGAACAACGTATTCTCAACAATATTATCGGTTCCAAATATCTTAGCGAAGAAGAAATTGTTGCCCAATGTTTTGTATTCTTTTTGGCTGGTTATGAAACTACAGCTTCGACTTTGACATTCTGTTTGTTTGAATTGGTTAGCAATCCAGCTATCCAAGACAAACTATACGAAGAAGTACGTTCTGTATTGGACAAAGGGGAAGCGCTTGATTATAACAATGTTATGCGTTTGCCGTATATTGATGCCGTTATTTCCGAAACACTTCGTCATCATCCACCTGCATTTGCATTGACTCGTGTTGCTGCTGAACCATATTATTTAGCCGAATGTGATTATACATTGAGAAAAGGAGATATGATTCGTTTTCCAGTTTATGCTATTCATCATAATCCTAAATTCTTTCCCGATCCTGATCGTTTTGATCCGGAACGTTTTATGCCCGAAAATCGTCATAAAATCACACCATATACATATTTACCGTTTGGTGGTGGTCCTCGTAATTGTATTGGGATGAGATTTGCATTATCCGAAGCTAAACTTGGCCTTGCAAGAATGATCAGTCAATTTTCATTTCATAAAACACCGCAAACACCTGATGAACTTCGAATTGAAAAAAGTTTTAGTCTAATGAAAACTGTTCCCGTTTATGTGGGTGTACGTCGTCGTACATAATTATTTTTCAGTCTTATTTTGTTTAATCGTAGTTTTAAAAAAACGTTGTTACTTCTTTCATAGAATAAATCACGAGATTTGATTTTAAAAAAGAGAGATAACAATCTATATTGCTATCAAATCAATATGATGATAATGTTTTTACATACATAACAAAAGCATAGCATTGTTTCCTTGAAAACGCCTCTCCCGTTACATTTGATGCCACGAAACAAAACAAAAAGACCAGAAAAGATGGTCAAACTAACAAATAAAGAAAAATTCAATAAATAATAAAATTTAAGAAAAAAACCAGTTCGGAATCGGGTGCATCCTTCCCAATGGCTGGATATAGCGGTGATGATGTTATTTTTTCACAACAACAAACAACAAATAGAAAACAAACTTGTTGTTGTTGTCGATGAAAAGGTTGTTGTCGATATTAAACTTGATCACAAATGTCAATGAACGAATAGCCAGCCATGATGATGATGATCAATAAAAATTCTAATCAAAATGAAAACAAAACAAAAACAAAAACAATAGACATTTTCATTGATCATTTGAATTTGGTGAACTGTATTGGTAGCAATCTATTTAACTGAATCATGGTGACATTATGGTTAATATTATGTTTTAATTCATTAATACCATTTGTGATTACAATCAATGTAAGTATGATAATAATTTTTCAATTTGATCATTCACTCATTTCATTTGATTAGAATCCGAATTCTATTCAGAATGATGGTACAATTGAATCGTCTATCGATTCGAATGATATTTATCTATCGGAATTTGAAATTGTCGATATGGCTAATCATGATGGTCGTCTTCATAATGGACTTTGTTGTAATGGAATGAAACCTAATGTTGTTGGCTGCAAAGGTGGCAATACTACTTGTTTACCGTTTTGGCGTGTTTGTATTGCTGAATTGGCACCCGATTTGATTCATTCATCGAATCGAGAAGCAATCGAAATGACCAGTACCACTACTAAAAAACCATGGGCTATTCCTGGTTTATTGTTCAAGTATGTTATTTTTTTCATGAACATCCGTGTTAATAAATCCATATTCTTCTAAATATAGAATATTTAGCCCAAAATCAAGCTCAAATGCTCGAAATCGACAAGTAAAAGAAATAATGGATCATATGTCACCAAGTACATGTTCAATTGGATTTTGGTCAAGTCCGGTTTTATCAACGGATACAGTTTTTCCATTGCAAATGCGAAAACTGGTAACATTGAATTCATCGAAAATAGGTACCATATCCAATCGGAATTTTATATCGATCGTAGAAATATGGAGTCGTAATGCACGAGCAGATGTTAAACATCGTTTGATTACAAGACAAGTTAGTCATTACAGTGTATTTATGCAATCTCAAGTGTTAAGTGAAGAATGGTTTTATGGTGGTCATGTCACCACTGCTGTTCCATTCGACAACTCTACATCAACCAAAACATATGATCTCCGTTTTCAGTACCGATATCGTTGGCATCTCAAATCATTAAGTCGATTACGTCAAGAAGGATTCAGCAATCAAGATGTTAGCAATTTAAATATCACCACCAACAATGGTTGTCCTTATGGTTTCAAAGGTGATGATTGTAGCAAACCAATCTGTATGGAAGGTTGCCATCCTGAGCATGGGTAAGTTTTGCGTTTGTCATATATCAATATCATCAACATGAATTATTATTATACTTATAGATACTGTGATCAACCAGATCAATGTTCTTGTCGATTTGGCTGGACAGGCATGTTCTGTCAATATTGTCTTACGTTGCCAGGTTGTGTTCATGGATCCTGCACTCGGCCATTGGAATGTCGTTGCGAACCAGGATGGACTGGAATGTTTTGCTCAATACGTTAGTACTAATTTTAGTGAATAAGAAAAAAAGAAATTAATATACTTTTTCCCCTGATTAGCCGAATGCAAATCTGGTTGTCATCATCAAAATGGATACTGTAGCAAACCGGGCGAATGTAAATGTAAATTCGGGTGGCAAGGTGAAAATTGTACCGAATGCTCAACATTGCCAGGTTGCCAACATGGAACCTGTGATGAACCTTTAGATTGTAATTGTCAAAATGGTTGGCAAGGTACATTTTGTTCGACACCTATCTGTGCAGATGGCTGTGCCAATGGATGGTGCCAAAATCCAGGAGAATGTCGTTGTAAAGTAGGATTTCGTGGCCAAAATTGTAGCGAATGTGTTCCATATCCAGGATGTGAACATGGTGATTGTATAAACAACGAACCATGGACATGTGGTTGTCAAACTGGTTATGGAGGATTTACTTGTAACGAACGTCTCGATTGGTGCGAACAAATCACCCGATCAACGTCAAACCAAACTGACCTATCGCAACCAATTTGCCAGAATGGAGGAACTTGTATCAGTGTTGAACAATCTGGAGGTAGCTATCGTTGTCATTGCTCATTAGGATATACAGGTAAACATTGTGAACAAATCGCTTGATGATATGATTTATGGTAATATTTGAGATTTGCTACTCTAATTGTTTGTATTGTGCATGACTATGTTTTTTGTTTGTGATTGTAATATTTACCAAATATATCAAAATAAATGCAAAGCAATCGATTATTTTTGCTGAAAAAAGAAGAAGCTGTCCTAGAAACACAATCGATTAACATTTTCAGTAAAAATGTTAAAATAGAATGAATGTACCAAGTACTTACTTACTTGTGACACCTGACAATTGTCCCACCACCACCTAAAGCTTCCTCATTCTCGAGCCAGTTATCAACAAACTAGGATGCTTGATTTACAACATAACATCATCACCAATCAATGTTGCCAATGTTGTTGTATTGATGGTGAATGCGATAAAACTGACTGGTTGCTGAAACAAGTCACAGCATAACGGTAACAGCCGGATAACGAACCGAATAAAAAAATATAGTGAACATTTGTTGAATATTTCAAGTTCGACTGGCAGACCTCTCATCCGATGATTGATTGGCTTAAACACGAACAAAACAGGTCTGTCAAAATTTGAATGACCATTGTGGTGGTGGTGATGGTGAGCATTATGGTGAACCTATTTCGGACAATGCTACGATTAAGGTCGATCTCGAGCAACGAACCGGAGACTAAAAAAAATCTGATTGGCGCTATATCGATCGGTTGGCCCATTTATTGCATAGTCGAACGGATCGAATTTGTGTCAATGATGACCAAAGCACTAGACTGGTTATGGCCGGCATCCGGTCATCCGTGTATCTAGCTCTTAAAGTAATAATAATAATAATAATAAACTTACAAGTATTCCGTTTTAACCGATTGAGCAAGCATAATGTGCACATTTTATTGTTTGATGGCCAATTATCTCAAACAATCCATGATCGAAATCGAATCGGCATCAAATTAATTGTCAGTTCTAATTGCTATGATTGCCAGGATTTTTTTTTTGGCTACCGGATTATTTGAAGCGGAAAATTATTCATCATCTGATGTGATCAATAATTTTTGTCCAATCCGATTAGATTGATTTGCCCAGAGCAAAATGGTTTGTCGAAATGGCTATATTAAAAAACATAATGATATCTGGGCGGATGCCGGTCGAACCAGCCCCGCCGAACTATATCGAACTGAAAAAAACTTGCTACGCCAGCTGCCATTCACCATAGTGACCACTACTTTGCTACTCAAATTTATCGGTCAGGTTAAAAACCAGAGAAAGAGAGATAAAGAAAAGTAAAGATGATGAAAAAAAGAAAAGAAGAGAAAACGAGAAACAAATGTTGGTAACGGAAAGATTTCGAAATAGAAAAAGAGAACCAAACCAAACTTAAAAAAACTGATCAAAGGACCAAACCAGTGGTCGATGTGATTGAATTGCAAATGATGACCATCCAAACATCATTCGTCCAGATGATTTGCAAGCAAGCAATCAACCGTATCCAGATCATATACAAATTACATTGAATGTGTGGTGCGCGTGTATAGTCGAATTTTTCAACATTCAACATTTTAACCCTTTTTATTTGGGACCATTCGATGAATGAATGAAATCATCATCTAAACCATATCAGATTAACACTTGTATAATATCTTATTGAATAACGCCAATAGTGTTCATCAGTGCTCTCTCCTTTTTTTCACTGTTAGTCGTTAATGAAATTATCATTGATGATAAACCAATTGATTTGAACAACAAAATATCTCCATTTTACTCATTGAATCAATTAGATCAATTGGACATTAACTGACTGACAGTGCAAAATAATATAGTTTGTTTGCTAGCCATTATGGTGAGTTTTTTATTTCGACCTGTCATACAATTATTTTGAAGTTTGTTTTTGTTTTGTTTCACAAGAAACCGATACCTAAACTGATGATGATGGCTATCGTTGTTACGATTGTCATCATTTTGTTGATCACTAATTCGATTCAAGCTCAACAATTAATTCGTAATAAACGTGGCCTTTCTGATTTTTTCAAACGATTCTGGAATATTCGCAAAAAAGTCAATCCTGTAATGAACGTTTTTTTTGTAGTTGTTGTTGTTGACTTAATTCTTTTTCAATGTTGAATAGATGCCGTACCAGTCTGAATCATCAATTTATCCTAGTTCAATGAATCAAGATTATATGATGTCACAGGCATCAAATTATTATCCAATTTATCAGCTTAGCCAACCGTCCAACCAATACGGCCCACAATATGCGCCACAATTTTACAGTGAATCTGCTCCAATTGGACAGGCAAATCAAATTGATTATCAAGAATACCCATTACGCCAAGGAAGCAATAACTATTATCCAGTATCGAACCAATATCCCCAACAGTCAGAGTATCAACAAGGAAATGGTCATCAAAATATTCAACCAGATGAATCGATTCAAAAGCCTAGCTATTATTATCCAAAAAAAGGAGGTCAAATCGGAACATCTCCTTATACGTTCCATGCAAATCCTAGCCAGGCCAATGCATTCAATAGTAAACCATATGGTAATCAACCGGGTACATTAGATGTACATCAAGTACTAGATCAATTTATTCGATCGGCTGGTCTAAGTCCACACGGTGATCATGAAAATGCTAACAAAGATCGGGCCTACAATGAAGACCAAGCACTTTCCGTTAAAAAACTTTATTCATATCCATTCTATTTCTCATCATCAGGAGATCGACCGCATACGATTCGGTGAGTTGATTTTTTCTTTAAAAAACAAATAAATAAATTTGACCAATCAATTCATCTTAATCATTCGTTAAGTCGACAATCAATAGACGAGGCAAACTATATTGATGAACAACCAATGCCAAAAGTGATCGCACAAAGAGTTAATAAGCCCATATCAGCAGCCAAAATTGAACTACCGGTAATGAATGGTAAACAAACGCAACCGATACAAACTCAAACGATAGCGGATAATGATTCAACAGTGGCTGCCGTATTGTTGGATGATGAAAATTCGTTTATAGCTAAAAATGCAGCTGCACTTCAAGAATTTTTGGCCAACAAACCATCTTCGAAAAACAATAACAATGATGCGCAGACCGACGACTAAAAAAAGAAGTCGATAACGGTAACGGGAGATAATCCAAGGCAGTAGTACCCATTCGAGAAACAAAAAAACGATTAACTTATTGATGGCCTTTTTTGTGTACATTGGCTTCGATTCGATTCTCATCATCATCATTATCACACGGAACTCATCATACAAAAACACTATACCTGCAGACAAAACCAGTATTGATTTTTTTTAAATTTTGATTACTTCAAACATATAGATTTTACACATAACAAGATATGACCATAGGTTACATGAACATTGACACACACACACACAATCTCTATTCATTCGTTCAATAAAAAAAGAAGTTCAGAGTCTAAATATCAACGATAGATGGTGTTGATGATAAACAATCATGGATTGTAGTTTTTTCCCCACATTTATCTATGATTTCAAATGAAATTCCTTAAAAAAAGAATATTATTTCTCGAGGCAAAAATATGAGTTGATCATTGATCATTGATTCGAATGATCAGCAAATTGTTGGGTTGATTTTGTCAAAAAAGAATTTTTGTCAAGTTAAGTGACGTTTTTTTCTTTTTTGATGAGACAGGATATTGCGCGAGCAGCAATTTTATCGAAGAAAAACAAATAGCATGAATCGGCCATACTACCAAATAATACTGGTGGTTGTTGTTATGGTAGCTAAAAAAGGAATGGAGCCATATCGATCCAGAGCAGACATTATTCTTCTCTAATTCATATTGAATGTTGTTGGAACCTCTCTGACGTCGTCGAATATAGTGGGTAAATGCATTCTCTTTTTACGACACGTAAGCCGATTAGCCATTGGGTAACATAGAATTCATTCATATTTTGTTCTATATAGAGACTAGGCCAACAATGTGATGTCGTCATTGGTTATTTCTGGTTTGAGTTTAGTATATGCAAATATTATAGCAAGCAATATTTCACCGTCTGTCTTGTCCTGCATTGGTGATATGACAAATGCCAAATCTTATAAGTTTTTTTTGATTGAAGTGATCATAACCATATGATTGTAAATTTAGTAATTTCCAACAATTCATCTTGAGCAATCGATGTGATCTGTGTTGAAATAATATTTATAATAATCATCAAATATTTTCATAGCCACGTCAACATAATGACTGCTGAACCATTTTCGCCGCGCCGTCAACTAATCAAACACAATTCTGAACATGATCTTTATTCGCAATTTGATCAACTTGCTAATAGCAGACAAGTGAAACATGATGAAAGTAATTCTATACGACGTCGTGAACGTATCAAATCATTTATTGATTTTGATGATGATTCCGAAGATTTTGATGATGATTCACAGCCAGTTGAACAATCTAATCATACCAATGATAGACGACGATCTGTCAAAAGTAGTACATCCGATTATTATAAAAACGATCTCATTACTGTCTTTCATGCCAAACAACACAATTCAGAATCAGAATGTCAACATGCAAACAGTACAGCCAGCAATGATGATAACAACAACAACAATAATAATAATAATGATGATGATGAGGAAGATGATGAATGGAATGAATTTCAACATTCTTTGCCTAATGTCGATAACAATATGGATACACTTGATAAACATTTACAACGACCAACACTGAGCAGCGAACCTGATGATGGTGCCGACGAAATAATAGACGAAGAAGATGATGTTTCCGAAACAGAATCAAACGTGCTATACGGACGACTTAATCAGATGGAACAGGAACAAGAATTGCTGAACAATTCATTGGTTGCTCTTACGTCTCACTTTGCTCAGGTGCAATTTCGATTACGACAAATTGTCGAAGCCAAAGATATTGATGCCCAAAAACGTGAAACATTGTTGGCGGAACTTGAAACATTTGCTAATCGTGGTATACCTGAACTTATGCTTTGCACAAATCCAACCTCAACGATTTGCGGTAGTACCGGTGGTCTTCAACGATCAGTATCGATGGCCACTAGTCTAATGGCTGATGATGTTTTCGATGACGATGACAACGATGGCCATAGCTTTGCTGAAAACGGTAATGAAGGTGAGGATCATGATCGTGATGATGTTGGAGGTCGAGAGCGTACTCGAAACAGCTGGGGCTGTTCGCAAACTGGAGCTGATTATGCTGATTCTATACATAGCGGTATGACCACCACTACTACCACTACTGATCGAACACATAAGCCGCATCATTCGAGTACGATGCTCATTACCGAAGAGAAACTAGAACGACAAAGAAATCGCCAAAAAGAACTAATTGGACAGCTAAAAGAACAGCTAGAAGATTTGGAGCGATATGCTTACGAAACGGGAGAACTTAATTCGCTTCCTAGTTCCATGTTGCTCGAGCGACAAAATGCTATTATCGAACAGCTCAAGTCTAAATTGCCCATTCTTTCTATCGATGAAATCGATCATCTTACGCCAGAAGAATTACGCCGTAAAGTGGATCACGCCGTCAAAGAGGTTTGCTAATGAACAATCATTTTGACATTTGTCCAATGTCTTTCCTTTTTACAGCTAGTTAATCCGGTCATTATGAAAGAACAGCTTGTATCGCAGCTGAAAACCCAAGTGACAGACTTGGAACGTTTTATTCAATTTTTGCAACAAGGTAAAAGTCGGCAATAGATGGCAGTCTTTATTATCAATTTATATTCACAATATTATTCACATTCAGGTGGTGCTAAGAAACACAAACATCTGAGCGCACAATTAGCCGACGGTACTTTACCATCATCATCATCATCTTATTTAATGAAATTGCTGTCCAAAAAACGGTCAAACAATGACACAACAACTTCTGAACCTGTTGACAAACAACGTCAACATAATACCAATCGATCGAGAACAAAAGTCCGAACCAATAAACCTCAAGACAATAATGGTAATACCGAAACAGCTGCCAACATTTTCAAAAGAATTCTTTCGTTATTGCATGTTTTCGCTTGGACACAGCTAGGAGCCTGTACCAATTTCGGTAAGTAACTGTGAAATTCAAGTTCAAATTGGTTACGTTATTCTTTACCATAAAGCTCGTTATCATGATAGCCGCATTCCGTTCGAACAAAACATACTTAAACGAACAACTGCTTCTTGTGCCAGACATTGGGGTGATTTACGTGCACATCTAGAAATGGCCATCACATCTATACTCGATTTTTATCAGGAACAAAATATGAATCGCACAACAATAACGACAGTCAATACAAATGATGATACATCTGAAGAATGTACCGATTTTATTTCATTAGGCAATACTGCACTAGTAATCGACAATTATTTTGCCTACGAACGAGTGACATATATGGTACGGAAAGAATTAGCCATTGCTCTTAGAAATCTCATACATCATGGACTTATTGGTCATTGTAGCTGGCTTGATTCAAATGCCGCAAATTCCAACAATGGGTCTATGTTGTTAAGTAATTCAGCCATGACAGCCGCAAGTGCAACTACCACTGTTGGTCAATTATTCAGTATGGGAATGGGATGTTTTAGTGCTAAAGCAACACCTTTATTAATAAGCAAAACAAGACCCATGCATGTATGGCAACTTATTATCTTTTACTATGAACTCAAGGTTAATCTCATTTACCAGTTTCTATTGTCAATGAATAACTAACATTAAATACTTTCTTTAGAATGGCAGCAAATTCCGATCTACACCTAGTCGTCGATTATCGCAATCATTTGGTCTGCAAGCAGTTGCCGGACATCAAGCTAGTCCCAAACATAGCTTGTTAGCGGCCATTGACGACATCAACGATTCACATACACGCCTAAAACGAAGTCTAGATTCGCATTTCAAAGCGTTTGTTTGTCGTGGACTGAAGTAAGTGCATATCGAATGGTAGTTGTTCTTTTGTTTATTGAAAATTTTTCTTTCTATCCAGTCAACAGATGCTTTCTCAATGGTTGCGACTCATTCTTCGTAATCCTACTATTGTCAACGAATGTTATGAAAAATGGTCATACACAGCATCTACTGGTTTTGAAGATGCACTTCGACAATTAGATCGACTGTCCAATCTTCGATTCTGTTTACCAACCGATCTGGCAGTTCGACAATTGCAAAGCATTCATGATGCATTTTGAATGATTTCACCCAACAACCAATGTACTAACAAAAATCGCCACGACGACACGCATCAGCTGTTTAGATAATGTCATAAATCAACTTGGTCGTGCCGACGAAACGAATATTGATCACGTTCTGATTGGAATTATTAGCTATTTAAGGCTGATTTCTTTTCATTTATCATTCATTCGATCATCACATTATCAGACATTTTTGCCAACATGAATTTCAATCTTTCTCAATTGGTTTTCGTCGTCGTTGTCCTGCTGGTGTTGGACATAGCCATTGCTCAGCCTAATCGTAATCAACTGGAAAACTTTGCAAATTTGGCCGAAAAAATATCGGACAGGCAGCACACCAAGTACTGTGAACGTTTTGGCACTATTCTCAATGAACAAGCTGATATTATTTGGCCTCAGGTGAATAGCCGATGCATTGAACGTATGGTACGTGATGGTACTGAATTACCATCCAATTTCCCAAAAATCGACGCTGAAATGCGCAAAAAGATTGTCATCATATTCGAACAATGTGGACCGATTGTCCGTAATCCTTGTATACCGCAAGAATGGACTTCTATCAAACACTGTATTCGTGACCAGGCATTCAGCAGTAAATTGTTGGAAGAAAATGGTCAGCCACATTTGCCCAAGAATGTACCATCCATTAGTTTGGGTTTGGCAACTGCCGTTCTTGATTGCACTGACAAAGTGGTGAAAGGAATCTGATCTTTATTGAAATCAATCATTGTTTTTTATTACTATTATCATCATCATTATTCAATCCAGCAGTCGATTTATCCATTGGCTTGAATCTGTGCAATCCGTTGTCGAGCTTGTGCATATTCGCTAAAATCTAGATAGCCATCGCGATTACGATCTTCTTGTTCAAGAAGACGATCAATCGCTTCTGTCCAAAACGAAATTGTTAACAAATTAATAAAATCATTGTATAATGTTAAGTGATTAAAGTTGGACTTACTTGCACACAAATTTATCGTTTGTTCGCCATTTTTGCTTGATTCATTGCCTGTATTTCGTTCATGAAGAAACATAGCTAATAGTTCGAGTCCATCGATCCGATCATTGTTGTCATAATCATGAGCTTTAAAATTGAAAAATTCCGGTTTAATTCCAAGCGTACGTGCTAATTGCGATAGATCATCATTATTATCTCCGGCACCGCGTAAATATCCGAAATGATGCTCCAATTCATGGTCATTGTCCGGTTCACCAAACACCCAATCAAATACATTGTCTAGAATGTTCTGTTCATCACTATTGTTGATCATTATGCGATCATTTTCGTGACATCGGACCGAGATTTGTATCAACGCTAACAATAACATCAATCGTAACATGATCAGACCATCAGATGAATAGTGGCCACGCTGTACTGGCAACCAGATTCGAGAATAAACATATCTGTTTGAATGAATGGACTTTGTTCGCCAAAAAGCATGATAAGATACAAGTAAAAGCGATAAGCTCGAAAAACGATCAGGCCATCATCAAACAAATCATTAATCAAATGTTTATTTACTGTAAAATTCATTCATTTTGTTGTGTAAAAATAATATTTTTTATTAAAGAAAAAATCACAATTCATAAATATAATGGTAAAATAGCCATAACATTTAATTTGATAGTGACATAATCAATATATGCATAACAAAATGAGTGGGTGGATGGCACATTTATCACTGATGTTTTCTTCGCTTAGATAGATAAGTTATTTGCCGTTATTCTTATAATTTTTCAAGCTCAAAAATTTGAGGCGTATATTTTTGCAACATATGTTTGATGATGATATTTGTACTTGCATTTGGCTCGCAAGCCATAGGCTCTTCGGTTCTATTGCTGAGCGTAGTAGTTGTAGCTGGAGTTGCCGGTTTGATCACCAGCAATTGATCGGCTTGTTTTCCATGCTTTAGTGTTTCAAGAATCTCCGTACGATCCAGACTAATACGTCTATTCGAGTAAGTTTCGAAAGAACTTTGCGATCGACTCATGCTAGATAACTTGTTGTTGGACATTTTCTCTTCGGATACAAGCTGTTCGGTCATGTTGGGACTATCATAGATTGGAGCTTCGATACGTAACATGTCCATCTTGATTCGATCGTGCATACGCTGTTGACGGCGGCGAACTCGATAGCGATTAATGTAGTGAAGAAAGGTCTTGCCAAACATGATAAATGGATTGATAGCAGCGCTAGCAGTGAACAGGACTAGACTTAAAAATTTGATCGGGTCATACCAGGCTGGCAGTTGCTGTGTTCGAATCGAATGGATATCAGTCATAACCACAAAAATTGTTGAAAGCAGCGTACCGATTTAGGGGGCCTAAAAGCCCGGTAGTAAACAAGCACCTGAAGCGGAAGCCAACAGAACAAAGTGATCAGACAATAAATAAACATGGTTTTGATCAAGGCCATTTTATGTTTGTTTGCCGTCAATTTACGTTCAACATATTGGTGACGACTTTTTTGATTTAAATCCACAACGTTCACTTCAAGCGTCTAGATGCGTGCATTCAAAAGCTGGTCAGATGTTTGAATTGATTTTTTTTCAATATTTAACAATACTTGCCGGATTGGTATTTGTTTCATCTTCGTCGTCGATAAGTGCGGGTTGTTCGTTATCAAATCGATTCAGGCTAGATGCAAATGAACTTGCTTCCAAACTGTTCAAAACGGTTGATTTGTCTGTTTGATGTTGAAGTAATTTGCCAATGAATCGATTGATACGATAGATCATCAGCGAATAGACCACCACCATAATGAAAAGAGGTACATAGATGAGAGGAGTCATGAGGAAAATCCAGTATCTAACCGAATCGTGAAGTGGCTGATCAACGCACCATTTCTAGGTGAAGAAAAAAAACGTTTAGCATTAATTAATAGCTAGAATAATTAGCTTGTATGATAACCAACTTCCAGGTAATCTTTCCATTGGCGTTCATGATAGACACGCATTTGGGCCAGTGGATAGGCTAGCGATATAGACACCATCCAAATTGCCGCAACAAGCATTAACGAACGTTGGCTTGAATGGTCGGTTGGATTTGTAATACAACTGATGTTGATGAAACGTTTAAACGAAATGGCTATTATAGAGAAGTTACTGGCAAGGATGCAAGTCACTGGCAAAACATTAAACATGATGTTGATTAATAGAATGGAATGTGGCCACACTTACCTTTAATTAGAATCTCGAATTTACAAGTGAGAGGTCCAAGTTCATAGTTTTGAAAAATGTTTTCGATCAGTGATACAGCAGGTATGAACAATACGGTTAGAAAATCAGCAATGGCCAAATTCACTATGAATAGATTAAGTGATCTTTGTCGAATCTGTGGCCGTTTCAGTACAAGAATCATGACAGCCACATTGCTGATCAAACCAATTACAGTGATAGCAGACATCAAAGTTGATTTCCAAACAATTTCCGGCCAAGGTCGGTGGCCCCAAATCTGATTGAATTGGCTGAAATTATATTTTGAACAGTTGAAAAAGTCATCGTTGCAATGTGCTACTCTCATCGTGACGTTGTTAGCTGGTCTCAGTTCTGATGCTTAAAGCTTATACCATCACAACACCTTCATCAATAGATTGATTGAGTATGAATCCAACCAACTGGATCGATTTATCGCATCACCAGGTAACATTATCAACACTTGACCGTCACCATCATCACGAACCCAACATTATCTTACTGCCCATATCAGTCTGTTATTCCTCGTCCTTGTATTTGTTTTCATTAGAAAGATAAACATTAACTGTTATTTTAAAAGTATCGATTACAGAGAATGTGATAAGTAGCTAATGATCAGGCCATAATGAGATTAGCATTTTTTGTTGTTCATTTTGGTTGCAATCAAAGCAGCCATATTAAGCAAAGATATTTATGTTCCACTGCTCTCGCACTATGATTAATCTTGGGATGCCATCAAATGTATATCAAATATTTGGTTTAATATCATTTCAACTGAAATCGATTGATTGATAGTATTGGGGATTGTACGCCATGATCCAAAAGCAAATACATTCAGCCATCACATGAATAATAATCATCGATATTCAAATTGTGTGATGCTACTGTTTTTTCCAATACTGTTGTGCTCGATGATTAGCTTGAAGCCTATAAAAAGCGATGAAAATTCACTTGACCGGCATTGAACATTATACACACGGTCTATATTTCGTCAATTTCATTTCATTGCTCATCACTAAATTAGAAACAAATCAGGTATGTCAAACAGTTTTCAATGATCCAAACAACCATGTCATTGTAGATGAAGGGTATCGATTGTATCGGTTGTTTATTTTATATACATTGTATCAGTTGAGAGCAGAACGAGCCACTGAATTGGTTCACTGCTATTCAATTGAAAGCTCAGAGTCCAGCGAACTTTGAACACAACGTGGATGGCTCTCATTTTCTGGACAAGTTTGAGCCCGGCTGTTTGGCGATAAATTTATCGCCCCCAATTTATTTGTCATCCCTATTGTAACTGACCAATGATTCTTATCCATACAGAATGGTTTCACTCGAAGATCTCAGTTCGATCAATAGCGACAATTTTGAAGCCGACGGTCTTACTGCTCATCAATTGTTTGGATCAGGCGATGGACTCACTTACAAGTACGTACTTAGTTATTTATTCATTCATCCATCGATTATCATTCTTAATATTGTTTTGTCTCTTTTTTCTCTTTCAGTGATTTCCTCGTGCTGCCTGGTTACATTGATTTTGCAGCCGATCAGGTACGAATCACTACTCAGTTGACAAAGTCCATTCAACTTAACACACCGCTTGTATCATCGCCGATGGACACTGTGACCGAATCGGATATGGCCATAGCTATGGCTGTAAGTAGAATTGATTGATATGGATAGATGATTATTAAATTCTGATTATTGTTTTGTTCATATAGCTCTGTGGTGGTATCGGTATCATCCACCACAATTGTACAGCAGAATTTCAGGCACAAGAAGTGGTGAAAGTGAAAAAATACAAACATGGTTTTATTCGTGACCCTGTCTGTCTAACGCCAACACACTGTGTGCGCGATGTGCTCAAGGTTAAAAACGAAAAAGGCTTTACCGGAATTCCAATCACAGATACTGGAAAGTTAGGCGGAAAATTGTTGGGCATCGTCACTTCTCGTGATATTGATTTCAAAATGAAGGAAATCATGGACGAACCATTGCAAAGTTTGATGACCGACTTTGCTGATTTGACCACTGCTTACGAAGGCATCTCGCTAGAAGACGCAGTTAAAGTAATGGAAAAAACCAAAAAAGGAAAATTGCCCATCATCGACAAAGAAGGACACCTAACTTCACTCATTTCGCGTACAGATATCAAAAAACAACGTGATTATCCGTTCGCTTCGAAGGATGCCAACGATCAGCTATTGGTTGGCGCCGCTATCGGTACACGTGATAACGACAAAGAACGTTTAGCACGATTAGCTGAGGCTGGTGTTGATTTAGTTGTGCTTGACTCATCTCAGGGAAATTCCATCTATCAGATTAACATGATCCAATTTATCAAAAAGACCTACCCACAAATACAAGTCATCGCCGGTAACGGTAATGTTGAAGTCTTGTTTGTTGGCTTTACATAACTCACCATTAACGTTTGTGTTTTTTAGTGGTTACACAAAAACAGGCACATAATCTGATTAAAGCTGGTGCCGATGCTCTTCGAGTAGGCATGGGTTCTGGTTCGATTTGCATTACACAAGAAGTGATGGCCTGTGGTCGTCCACAAGCTACTGCTGTATACAAAGTGTCTAACTATGCTCGCAAATTTGGCGTTCCTATCATTGCAGACGGCGGCATTACTTCGGTTGGTCATATTCTTAAAGCTTTAGCATTAGGAGCTGGTGGTTGTATGATGGGATCAATGTTGGCCGGAACAACCGAAGCTCCCGGTGAATATTACTATTCGAATGGCGTTCGTGTCAAAAAGTATCGAGGAATGGGTTCGATTGATGCTATGGAAAGCAAAGATGGTGAAGGCTCTCGCCAGCGTTATTTCCAAAGTGACAATGAAAATGTTCGAGTTGCTCAAGGTGTATCCGGTGCTATCGTAGACAAAGGCTCTATACATCGTTTTGTTCCCTATCTTGTCAACGGAATACGTTATGGTTGTCAGGATATGGGTGTTCGAAGCCTAGAACAATTACGGTAAGTGATTTGCAACAATGTCAATCTTTCTTTATTATTAACTTGATGATTTATCAATTGAACAGGGAGCAAATGTATTCTGGTGTGCTTAAATTCGAAAAACGTACAGCATCTGCACAGATTGAAGGTGGTGTACATGGATTGTATTCATTCGAAAAGAAATTGTTCTAATCTAATCTAAAATATATCCCCATGGATGTATTTTTTTAAATATACTCATATCTATCGATTGCTTTCATTTCAATCAATAAAATTAATCGATTTATTCGACCAATTTCGATATTTGTTTGTAAATTTATTCATTATTCATAGGCTCACACACACATACACATACACAGGATGTTTGTTTGCCACAATCAATGCTTGGGTGACAGCATCCTGCCCATTTGATTGCTATATGATTATATGTGTTTTTACAATTCGGGGCTCATTATATTCACTATATGGAACAACAACAACAACAACGTAAGCAATATCTTTTGGCCGATCTGTTGCGACAGATTTATGTTAATTGGCCCGATGCACGATCAAGATCGTGTTCACTTAATGGGGATCATCAAGAAACAACTTTCAATGAACCAGCATTAAATCGGTTTCAACTTGAGAATAAAAATGCTAAACAATTGAAACAATTTGTTCAACAATTAAAACGGCAATTATTGCGAAAAAATGAACGCCTAATGCGTTTATTACGTGAACGAGATGATCATCAACAACAACAACAATATATGCTTATTTGGTTAGATCATCTAGCAAAATCTCAATGTTTTTCAAGTATAGGTGAGTGAATAGATTCCTATGAGAATACAAGCCCTGGCTGCCAAAGATGTTTGGCAGAAAAAAAATTTGATTATCGGCCACGTCGTCGATTACGGAACCAATCATATGGCAGAATAAGAATGAAATAGAGCAAAAGCATCTGCAATCGGATCTGGGCATCTGCCAGTTGTGTGTGTCATATGGTCTATATTGATATCGATTTCTAGTAGAATTAGTTAGTTTGGCCCATCAAATCCATATCCCATATAATATCATTTTGTTTGTTTTTTTATAATATTTTATTTTTTAAACTAATTCTATTGGTTTACTGTTGATTGCACCACTTGAATATAGGATTGCTTTGATCCATGTTTGGCACTTGTGTGAAACCCTTGTGTATTCTGGTTGTTTGATTATTGTATTTTATTTAATATGAGTTTCTATAGCTAATGTGATTATTAGCCGAAAAAACAGAAAAAAAACGAATAACATCTTCAACAAGACGCATCAATATCTTTTTTATTCTCTAGTCATGCTCAAACTAGGCTAGGTTTATGATGAAGAATATTGCTGCTATTGGGTAATGATGATGATGATGATGAAACGATGTGAGAAACCACCGAACGAATGTCAGACCAGATTTCCACTACTTGTACTCAATGAATATATCGTTGCAACATTGGCCAAAACTATAAAAAATTGCCGACTCGACAAATAATCTATCGCAGCAAATAGTAAATGTCAACAGACAAACACACACCAGCAACAATAGGTCTTTACCAACCAGATAACCTTTAACTTAACTGTTCCAATATCTATTTTCTAATTAACTGTGTTCAATGTGCAGACAATAATAGACTATTGTGATAAATACTGTATGTTTTGATGGTAGGTAGATGTTTTTCTTGCTTGTTATTCAATTGTATTGTATTCTGTATTTAATTTTCATTAACAAAGAAAAAAAATAACCATAATTATTATCGGTAATTTGACAATGTACATTTTAATGATTCGCAATTTCTTCTTTGCTTTCACAAAAATTCCATCTGCAGTTGCTAAATAATTTGCATGATGATCATCAAGTTTGATGCAGCGTTTTTTATTATTATTATTTAATAATTTATCAAAGCCTATCAAAACATTATAGAATATTATTAGTCTCTTTGGAATTTTAGCCGTGGTTGTGGTTTATCTTTTTTTTCTTTTTAATTTCACGATCCGATTTAATGTAAGGATTTTTTTTTATTTTATTTCATTTTGTTCATTTTCTTTTCAATCCTTAAGCAGCTTATTATTATTGTTATTATTATTATTATTCTGTATAATCGTCTTATCTTTTTTCTGCATTCGAAAATACGCGGAAATGCAAATTCTATCGGATCAAGGTTGTGATTCAAAACAAAAAACAAAAACGACAAAGAAAGGGCATTTTGTTTGGCTCAGATTATCAGTGTGCATGTTATTTGCCCAAAATGAAAAAAAACCGAACCCAAACTTTTCGTTGTTGTTACATTTGGACAAACATAAATGTTGTCCACAAATATGATAGTTGACAAATGTCATGGCCAATTCTTTTCATTGTTTAAACGAAAAGGCGGCTGCTGCCCACTCATTCTCAAACACAGAATAAAAAGAAAGATTTGCAGCAATTTTTTAAATAATTCAGTTAACATTCAACTAATTCAATCTATTCAGTTCGAAATCATTATTCACAACAGAATAATAATAATAATCGAATGAGCTTGATCAACAAAAAACTTAAACAGATTGGCCGACGTTTTTCGGTCAACGGTAAGCAATTTCATTCTTTTAATCTTTGAAAAAAATATCAATCCCGACCTTATTGCCTGTCAGGAATGGAAATCAATCCAGAATCCGGCGGAAATAGTAATCAAAAACATCGGCCTCGTAATTCAGCAACAACAGAGCCTGATGATAATTATGAACGATTAGAAGTGAAACGACTTTTACAGATTAATCCGACCGATGAATCTGGATTTGAACAATGGCACAATGCAATGCGAATGGTTGCTCGATTACCTGGCGGTATTCCTATTTCGTTTCGACGTAAAGTAAGTGTTAATGAACTGAATGATGAACAAATCAATTTGTTCCAACTTGATTTTCACTTGACCATAGTTATGGTTAACATTAGCCGATCGTCGACTCAATCAACGTCAAATTGATTGGCATCAAACTTTTGATAAATGTTTTAGTGAACATCATAATCCAGAAGATGAAGAATTAGGTATTCAAATTGTGAAAGATTTGCATAGGACAGGATGTTCTCTTTTTGCTAGCGAACGACGAGACAATCAAGCATTGTTGAAACAGGTTTTATTAGCGTATGCACGATTCAATCAAACAGTCGGCTATTGTCAAGGTTTCAATATGTTGGCTGCAATCGTACTCGAAGTAATGGAAGGTAACGTTCATCAAGCACTCAAAGTTATGATATATCTGATCGAACACGTATTACCTGAATCATATTTTACCAACAATTTGAGAGGTCTTTCCGTAGATATGGTAGTGTTTCGTGATTTGATGCATATTAAATTGCCCGAATTGGCTGGTCATCTTGACCGTTTGCAACAAGATTCCTATGAACCTACGTTAGGTATTTACTATGAACCACCACTTATCAATGCGTTCACAATGCAATGGTTTTTGACATTGTTTGCTACATGCTTGCCTAAATCCACCGTAATGCGTATTTGGGATCTAATATTGGTCGAAGGTAATGAAATTCTTTTACGTACAGCATTAGTTATTTGGGATTCTCTATCCGAGTAAGTATTCTGTGTGTGTGCGATACATGAGATATATGCGATTCTGTCTTTTCGTTGTCTAGTCGCATCATGGCAGTAACAACTGCCGATGAATTTTATAGCATCATGGATGTACTTACACGTGAATTGATCGAGTTTGGCTTGGCCGATTCTAATCAATTAATCGGAGCAATATGCAACGTAGCACCATTTCCATTTCCTAGATTGGCTGAAATGAGAGATAGCTATTATTACAATATTAGTCCGTTTAATGCATCGATCAATCAGCTGAAAAATGGATTGGTCAACATGTTCAATACGTCTATGCAGATGTTACTCGAAGATGAACCACAATCACGATCATCAACTGATAACGATGAAACTGTCAATTGGATTGATGATCAAATTTTGTTACTTAATTTGTATCTTAATCAAAGTCAGCCAGCTTATAAATGGAAAAATAGTAAGCTAAATAGTGTTTCAAAAATCAAATTGATTTATTGATTGAAATGAAAATCATCAATTTTTATCAGGTCCAAATCGTAGTCCAATTCATTCGATTGCTGATAGCGGTAGTAATCTTATAGATTCAATACGTAAACAAATTCATGGCCAACCAATTAATGTTGGTTCATTAGATGTATCGTTGCTCAAAAAACAATACGTCAAGCTCAAACAACGACAACGACAAGTACAAATTATTCTCAAAGGTAAATAAACTTGATATTAACCATTTTTGAAAAAAATTCTCATCACAACTTCAATCAACTTTCTGTAGAGGGATTTCAAAACAAACAGCCATATAGTGGTGAAGATAATTCCAATACAAACAAAACAACCTTTTCTATGGCTCGATTGTTGAGCGGCAAAAAACCTTTGCACAATAGTCGGTCGCATCATGGTAGCGAACCGGTAACTGGCAAATCATTTGTAAGCCGTACTCAATTCAATCAATGTGTTTATCCTGGATCAAGTATAGTGTTCAAACGATCAAATACATTTGCTTCGTTACCTGTACATGGTAATCACACACAGCAACAACAGCCAACTATTACTGATCGTAATTATAAGGTGAATGGTAAGCCTACTTGCAATGTTATCGTACAGATACAGCCACCAAGATCACCATCCAATGAAAATCATGGTGATTGTCAAATGGAACGTAAACGATCTATTACACCACGTTTGACCAAACATTCTTCAGGCAGTTCAACATCGACTGAACTTTGTGATGAGATTCTTGGCATAGATCAGGATGATGACGATGTGCTTGATCTGGAATACTATGATTACAGTAAGCAGAATGTTGATCGAATAGGAACCGTTGCGGATGATACTAATCGATTGTCATCAACGAGTCCAAGTTCATCGTCGCTATCGTTGTTGCGGCAACAACATCGCAAGCCTTCTTCGTTAAGCGATATAGAAGAATTCATACGCCATCAAAGCCAACAACAGGAATCAGATGAACATGAACTTTTTACAGTTACATCTAACAATGGGTCGTTTGGATCTGGTACCCATTTTAATGACGATGATTATGATGATGATTATGATGAATGGTCATATGGTCAAGTATTTACTACCGCTAACAATCGTACCGATCGATCAGCTACAGGTGATCATGCCAATGATAATAGCGAAAATCAACTTGACGAAACGATAAGACGATTCCAGGAACAAATTCGCAAAGTAAACATTGAATGACATTTTTATCTTATAAAACAAATATACAATCTATTCAATTGTAAATCCATTTTTTCATCAAATCAAATTGATTAAAAGTTGATTCGTTTTTTTGTTCAAATTGCATTTAATTCATTCATACGATAATTGCGTCATCTGTTGGACACTCGTCAAACTGATGCAGGTTTTTTATTGTTTACATTTGGTTGACGACGCAGAGTGATGCTGGAAATGGTTGTTCGATGCGATCACACATTTGTTTGCGCCATTCATTCCTTAATTGCTGACGTGTGATTAATCGATTATACATGGATTCCAATTATAATCTTCGATCGCCAGGTAAATTTCGATTGTTTGTTTGTTTGTTTACAATGATTTTACTTGATCCTAATCCTAAATATAGCGGTCAAACGAATTCTTCGTGAGGCAAAAGAAATGGAACAGCCTACACATGAATATTATGCACGACCACTTGAGGTATTTATAATATTGAAAAATGGTTAGAATTGTCGCTAACATTGTTGAATTGGATATAAATAGGATAATATATTCGAATGGCATTTCACTGTACGTGGAGCATGTGATTCGGATTTTGCTGACGGTCTTTATCATGGCCGAATCATTCTGCCAAGCGAATATCCAATGAAACCGCCTTCTATTATAATGCTCACACCGAATGGTCGTTTTGAATTGAACAAAAAAATCTGTCTTAGCATTTCGGGCCATCATCCAGAGACGTGGATGCCTAGCTGGTCGATACGTACTGTTTTGTTGGCCATTATTTCATTCATGCCTACACCAGCACAGGGTCATATCGGTGCCCTGGATTACAGTGGCGAAGAACGACGTATTTTAGCTCGTAAATCACGCCATTGGAAATGTGATCTATGTGGAACAATTATTCATCATCTTAAGCCAACCACCGCCAATCATACCATTATGGAGAATAGACCATCAAACGTATCGACAACAAATTCAGGTTCAATTATAGAACCAGTTAACGTTGATGTTCAACACCAAAATTATTCAAATTGGTCATCATGGTCTGCGTTGGTGGTATTATATTATTCTGTAGTGATGCTCATTATTGGCCTATTAATTCGTCGTTTACTATCTCATATTTGATTCCATTTATAACTGTGTTATTTGATTATGATTTTTTGTTTGTTTCAAATCTTATTCGTCTAAAAAAATCATTACTTCAATAAAATTTAAGCTTTGATTAATTAAAAATATGATTACTGCATTATACCTCAGATGGCGATCCTATTTCCATTTGATTAGTTGCTAAAAATAAAAAGAAATTCAATTGATTACCGTCAGATGGAACTAGGTGTTTCGTTGAAAAATTATAATCATTCAGACAGTTTCTCATCATCAATGTCCAACAAACCATGCCAGATGACAAATTCTTTCGAAATAAACATTTTTTTTTTTTTGGTTATATTAATGGATGTTATATTAGCAGATGGTTTTCATTCGAGAAGAAAAAATCAGAAAATTCACCATCGTTTCGAATGAAAAGAAATGAAATTTTTTTCGCGGAAAAAAAACATGTCAAAGTTCGTTTGTACACGTACGAACAAACAAAACAAACCAGAAAAAAATTGATGATCAACTTAAACAAACGAAATTTCAAAAAAAAAGAAAAATTTTTAAATTTGAACAAAAAATTGGTTTTGATTTATTTTTGATTGTTAATGCTGATGGATGAACGAAATAAAATCAAAATGAAAGAAAAATCCAATCATATCATGGAATGGAATTTCTCGCTGATTCTACATAGTGACCAAGTCAATAACAACAAGCAAGAGAGAGTGAGAAACCGAGATAAAATGTCACGTCGGTTATGGTCAGAATTTCTTTTTTGAAAAAATTTTATTTTTTTGTTGTCATTCTTTTTTCTTGCTAAAATTGGAATTTCCGAAAGAAAAAAAAACATAAACATTTATCGAAGAGAGAGATTTTTGTCGAGGTTCGTGACCCATACACGGACACGTACATTTCATTTCGATTGTTCGATTTAAACTTTAAGCGAATTTTTCGTTTAATTTTGATTTCAAAACAAACAAACAAACACATTTGGGTTCAAAAAAAAACATCCAATATTTGATCCAACCATCACATATTAAATATTGACCACAATTTAGCACGTGATGTATAGATTTTATTTATGAACAAAAAATTTCTGAAAAATTGCTGAAATTCAAGTTTTTTGTGATTTTCTTATTTGGATTTATTTATTCACGAACAAACAATTATACCACCAACACACCCACAATTTTAGAAAAATGTGTCAAAATTACAAGTTTTGGTTAGTTATCAAATCAATTTGTTTTTGTTTTTCTAGTTAAATATAGAGTATGAATCCAACAAATGAAAACGTTTGTCGCCTGTTTATTTATAAACAAAGAAAAATGAAACAAACCAATTTTCTGATCAATGGTGTGTGTTTGAGGAATCACGAATTTTTCATTAAAAAATGAAAAAGAACAATTCATTCGATTGATATAATGATGATGATTATTTTCATTTGGAAACCAAAATAGTAATTATGACACTTCTCTCATATTTCAGCTGTTTCTATTTGTGAATCAATTCAATCAGATTGAGTATCAGATTTCAATTATCTTTTTTTTTGTTTCTTCTAATCAATTAATCGTGATTTTCATTTTTTATTTTCTGTCCATTTTTTTCATACCCTCGGTGATAGTGGCAGTGATGCTTTACCTGGAAAAAAATTATAACAATGTTTCCAACTTGGAAAAAAATTTGTCATTTTTTCATTCATCGTTTTTAAGCCAGCGAAGGAAAAAATGTTACCTCAAAGATTCATGCAACAAGTTTCGCATTTTTTTCCAACTTACCTCGATCGATTCACAATTCAATCACAAGTCAGTCAATCGATACGCGTTGTTTCTTCCTTCGAAAAAAAGAAAGAAAGATGATCCATACACACACATGTATCAATTTTTTTCCTTTTCTCAGAAAAATGATGATAATAAAAAACATAATCGTATTTCGTGATGGTTTCTTGTTGTTGTTGTTGTGAATAAAACACATATAACAAAACAAAACGAAAAAAAAACAAAGATGCGGCTATACTGGCTATATTGATGTTTATGGTGTTTTTTGTTTTTCTTATAATACTTTGCTTGGCATCTTTTTTCTTTTTTTTACTTAGCTTTAAGAATAGTTTCCGTTCGATCAATTCATGATGATGATGATCAAATCCATGTTAAGTCCATTGGTCACGATTTTAATTTATCTTTTCTCCTTCCCTCTTTCTCTCTCTCTCCTGTATCCGATATAACACCAAAAATACCAATCAAACAACAACAACAAAAAGAAAGCAAAAATTAACCAACAAAATAAAAAACGTACGATATTGAGATTCAAAGAACAAAAAAAAAATCTTAAATATGTCTGAACAAATCATCAAAAAATAAAGATGATGCAGCAGCAGAAGAAGAAGAAGAAGAAATTAATGAAAGAAAACAAAAAAAAACTGAAAAAGATTCATTTCTTTTCTGAAAAAATAACCTGTCTATTTTCATTTATTACAACACAAGGGTGAACGAATAAGAAGTTTGTTTTTTGTTCGTTAGATAAAATAATGAATAACATCCGGAAACTAAGCACACAAATCTAACCCTATGGATAATTTGTAAAAAGAAAGGAAAATAGAGGAAAGAAAAATTAAATAAAATTCATTATTACTCATATTTACTAAAATTAGGTAATCTGATATGCACGAGTCATATTTTCTCGAAAAATGAAATTTTTTTAAAAAATAATAATTGTGATGCACGTGTATTCGACGTTTGTCGTAAATAATAATATCAGATTTCCAGTTATTGGCAATAATTTTGACTAAAATTAATGTTAGTTGTTGTTGTTTACTATTCCTACAAATCAAATTCATTTTTTGCTTTCAATCATCATCATCATCATCAATTTCATTCATATCAATAACGAAAGAAATATGATTAAAAGTCAAGGTAGTCAAGGTTTTTATTTCCAATCAAAAAAAAAGATGGAAAAAATCATCTTATATCCAATCATATGATAAGTTTTAATCATCATCATCATCATCGACAGGAAATTTTTGCTTTTTGAAACTGTCAGAATGGAATGAAATTTTTGAAACAAGTGAAATGTATTTGGAGGTATGAATATTTCATTCTCTCTTACATTGCTTATTGATAATTTTTAACCACTCGTTTCTCAAAACAGTTGTCGCCAATAATAATTTTTTTTCGTAAATCAATATTTGATTGATTTGTATTTTGTTCCTATCTCCAATCAGATCTTATTTCAAACTAATCCAAATGATGATGACGGTGTCAAATGTCAAAAGGAAAACAGGGAAATGTCATGAGTAAAACTTTAAACATGATGGTTACAATTGAAAAAAACATTGATATCTTTTTAATTGGTCGATTTAGTTTTTATCGTAGGTCGATAATGTAATTCATTCATTGATTGATTTTGGCCAAACATTTATTAATTAAGTTATGAATTTTTTCTTTTTTTTCTGGCAATTTGTTTTGAATAAATTTTCACAATTAAAAACACTTACATTTTTTTCGTTACAAATCGATGATTGATGACAGCCAATTTTTGTTTTTTCGTTGTTATCATTTTCATTACATTTTAATTACCATGTGGGAAACGATACGGCCAACAAAAAATTGTTCGACATTTTTGTTTCTCCCTTTCATGATTTATAAATTTAGATGTAACAACAACAAAATTCAAAAAAAAACAAACAAAATAAAATAAAAACAAGCGTAAAAAATTGAAAATTTTACACACGTTATCATTATAATGATAATCATCATCATCATCGTGATGAACGAATCGACCAAACAAAACAAGAGAAACCATCGATACTAATCGTTTGAAACAACACAACTCAACTTGTAATTTATTTTTAAAAAAGAAGAAAAAACGATTATTTCGTTTATAATAATAAGATTTTTTATTAATTATTATATTGATGATCGAAATATATATTATATTCAATAATTCATTCATTCATTCATTTTGTTTTGTATTTTTTAATATTGATTTTATTTTATAATGAAATAATAATGATAATAATAGCAATGAAATTACAGTTTATTTAATAATAATAATAATAAAAGAGTGAAAATGAGAATGAGAGAATTTGAATAAAATGAAATGAAATGTTTGTTTTGTTTTGTTTGAAAATGAAAGAGATGCTGTGCAACAATTTTTGTTGTTATTGTTTTGATGATGATAATAATATTCAAAGCAATCGTCAATAATCAATGTGAAATAAGAATTTTTTTAAAAAATTTCCGATTGTTATTGATCATCATCTTGTTGGATATGAACCAAATTTGATTTCAATATTTTCGTTCAGGTGATAATCAAAAAAAAAGAAAAGAAAAATTATTGACGTTGATAATGATGAGGGCATTTGCACATTTTTTGTCAATTTATATCGCCAACGAACCGTTGAAATAGGAATTTTTTTTATTTTTGAAATGATGATAATGAGGATGATAATCAATTAATTAATCGATGAATAATTGTTGTCGTTGATGATGATGATAATTAAAAAGAGATACAAAATGTGGCGTGAGAAAAAACAACCAAACACAACATTATCCAAATGAAAAAAAACAAAAGGAATAATTATGAAGAGAATATATATTTGGATGGATCAATGATGATGATATTGTTGTTGTTGATTGAATTGAAATTCCTAATCAATGAAAAAAAATGTTGTGTGATTTAGGAATTAAATAATGATAACAACGTATGTTTCGGTATTTTCTTTTCTCTCTGTATTCTGATACAGATACACAGGAAATTGGCAAAATAAAGATGATCATTTAAGAAATTGTGAGAGGTATGTTTTAGTGAGAATTCAATTCAGCAGCAGCAAAAATTATATGTTGAATGAGTGTTTGTTTGTATCGATGTGTGTGAATCAGGAACAACAAAGAAATTTGATTGTTTTGAAAAAATATTTATTATTATTTTTCATAATGATGATGATTTGTGAGCCCATATTATGCAATAAATTTATGTTTTCAGTGTTTGAAAGTGGGTGGACATATATGATACATGATAATCATCATCATTACAAGCAGCAACAAAACATCGATTGCGTGTGTGTGTGTGTTGTAAGTGTTTGCCTAACACAGTCTACGTAGAGAAAATGAAAAAAAAACAAATACCTAAATTTATTTAAATTTTAAGAAGCAAATTACAATATGTGCAACATGTGTGTGATAGCTAAAATTTTTAAATTAAAATTACATAAAAACGATAAAATAAAATACAAATATGGCAAAAAAACAAGCTAAAATTGTCGATTATCGATGATGATGAATGAAAGACCAGCTTTTGAATTTCATCATTTAAAGAAAAAAATTTTGATTTTTTTTCGGTTAAAAACACACTTTTTACCAATAATAATCGGACGATGTTGTTGCTGTTGCTGCTGCTGCTGCGGATGCTGATGATAGACCAAAATATGGATGATGATTGTTGACATTGAAATTGATATTAGCATTAGCATTATTATTATTATTCATCATTAACATCATTGATTGATGATGCTGTTGTTGTTGTTGGTAATTAAAATTATCCATACGGCGATTATATGATTGCTGTTGTTGTTGTTGATCATTTTGATTAATCGATTCACCCGATGAATAGATTTGATTTGGATAAACAACATTATTATAATTATATAATGATTGTTGTTGCTGTTGTTGCCTTTGTTGTTGTTGTTGTTGTGAAATCATAAAATAATTATTCTGATTCGATATTGATTGTCGATGATAATGATCTAGATTTGTTGCTGTTGTTTGTGATGAATTGATGAAATTGGATTCAAATTGTTCATCATTCTCATCTTGATCATTATCATCATCAACATCATTATCATTGATTTCTTGTTTAGTAAGTATTGATTTATTATCAATCATCATATCTGTTTGACAATTAAATGATTGACTTTGTTGTTGTTGTGATTGTTTGGACTTATTTTTCATTGATTTTATTGGTTTAGATTTATAGTTATTAATTTTTTTCGATACTATATCCATCATATTATCATTGATTGCTGATGATTTTTGTTTTGTTTCATCATCCTGATCATTGTTTAAAATATCGTTGTCATCACCATCATCGTTATCGTTCATTAATGAATTTTGATTAGATTTTTTTGATTTTTTCCTTGAATTTTTTCTTCGAATTCTTTTATCCGATGATGATGATTTAATTAAATTATTCTTTTGTTTATTTTCCGTTGTTGTTGATGATGATGATGAATTATCATTCAATGTTTGTTGATCATTTTGTTTAGATAATGTTTGATTCTTAGTTTGTTGTTGTTGTTGTCCGTCATCATCAATCATTTGTTGTTGTTGTTGACAATGATTATAATTATTCATTCCATTTGACGATGAACAACTACCTGATGATAAGGATGATGATCTAGATATAGTTGTACCGGGAAATGTTCCATTATTATTTTGTTGTTGATAATCAATTGGATATGATGATGTTGCTGTTGCTGTTGTTGTTGATTCTTTGGTTGATGTTGTCATTGTCATTGTTGTTGTTGTTAACGTTTTCGACAAGAATGATGAATTAGAAGAGGAAGAAGAAGAAGAAGAAACAGAGGATGTAGATCTTTGTTGTTGTTGTTTATGATGATCATCATCAACATGATCAACATCAACATTGTCATTATAATTATTCAATGATTGATTATAACGATTTTGATTATTTAATAATAATGGTGATTCTTGTTGCTGTTGTTGATTTGATATAAATGGAATAAAATGTTGTTGTTGTCGTTGTTGATTATGCTGTTGATGATAATTTGTTTGTGATGAAAAAATATCTGCTGCTGATGCGGATGTGGATGCGGATGAGGATGATGATGAAGAGGAATGTGAAATAGGAAGGGATAATGGTGGATGTGATTGACTATTCACGGCGACTGTGACGGCTATATTTGAATGTTTATCATTATCATTATCATCATTATTGACAATGCCCACATCATCATCATCATCGTCATCATTTTTGATTCTAGTTTGACATTTTATCATCATCATCATTGATGATTGATCTTGATTATCATTCTGTTGCTGATAAATATTATTTATTGTCGTTTTTGTTGATGATGGTGATGATAATTTTGATAACATTGATAATGGTGAATTATTACGTTCATATTGTTGTTGTTGTTGTTGTTGGAGATAATGTTGATGATAATTATTGTAATTATTATTATTCGGATTAAACATCGATATCAATGATGTTGATGGTGTTGTTGTTGTTGTTGTGGTAAATGATAATGATGATGGTGATGATGATGATGACGATAATGATAATGAGCCGCCCAGCGCCGCTTGATGTCAGTGTGCCGTTAATGATGGATGCGTATGGATCGAATTAGGACCTGTTAGATTTGGATTCATACCACCATTATTTCCACCATTCCCACCACCAGGATGACCAGATTGATGACCACCATTACCTGAATTCATATGGCCAGGATTTGGTGGAGAATAAGGCGGTGATTGTGGTTGATGGTGACCATGATGATGATGATGATGATGATGGTGCGGATTATGTGGATGATGAGGATGGTGATGAGAAAGATGGCCATGTGTCATTGATAATGGTGGACTACCACCACTATGCATTGCATCATCTGGTGGTGGACTCATCATCATTGCTGATGTAGGCGTACCATCCAATTGTCCAGTTGGTGGTGTCATACGCTTTTCTTTTTGTCGCCTATTACAAAACCAAACTCTCACCACTTCTTTCTCTAATTGCAAGTGTTCAGCTAATGATGTTATTTCCTGAGCTGATGGTTTCGGTTGTTTGTGAAAATGGGTTTCCAATGCTCCTTTCACTGAAACTTCGATTGATGTTCGTTTTTTGCGTTTTCTTCCTTGAGCAGCAATCTTATCGATTGATGTTGGCGAACCGGTCGTAGAATCCGCTTCCTCTAACCATTTAGCTAATAGTGGTTTTAGTTTGCACATATTTTTAAAACTAAGCTGTAATGCTTCGAATCGACAAATCGTTGTCTGCGAAAATACATTGCCATATAATGTACCTAATGCTAGGCCGACATCGGCTTGGGTAAAGCCTAATTTGATACGTCGTTGTTTGAACTGTTTGGCAAACTGTTCAAGATCATCCGAACTTGGTGTCTCTTCTTCGCCGGCACTTTCAGTGCCAGTAACACTACCGGAATGTACACGAGGTATAGATGAATCGGATGATCCTAATAGACCCATCGAAAATGATGATTTATCATCCAAACGTGATGCTAAATCATTTTGCATCGATAAACTTAGATCACTACCAAGACCGCTATGACCACGCATAGCAGGATGTAGCATTGATGCTTGACCACCACCAGCAGCTGCAGCTAACATACCATTCATACTTGGATATGCCGCCATTGAATGTTGATGTAATGGTGAACCACCATTGCTATGTGTAGGCGGTGGTGGTGTACCGGTATGATGATGATGATGATGATGTTGATGACCAGGCATTGTCAATGACATTGGATGCCATGTTGGTGTCATTGAATGTTGAGGTGTTCCACGATGTGCTGCAGCATGTACATGATGAGCTGCCGCTGCCGCAGCTGCTGCAGCCGCATGTATAGATGCTAAATCATTTGATGATGATGATGAACTTGTACCATTCTGAGATTGTACATGTCCACTATGTGTTTTGATATCCGGACTATGATGATGCATATGATGTGGATGATGAGCAGTATGATGATGGGCATGATGAGCATGATGCATGCCATGCATTACACCGGCTGTTGCCCATGGATTTGACATTTGCATATCAGCTGCGGCGGCTGCGGCAGCGGCTGCCGCTGCAGCCGCTGCTGCTTGTCCACTTGATGCTGCATGGCTCATTTGATGCGGTGATGATATACCACCTGATATAGATGATGGACCATGCCCCGATTGATGATTAGTACCAAGTGATGTCTGTAAACCTAATGATGATGACCAATGATGTTGACCTAATGCTGTTGCATGTCCATTTGCTTGTGGATGCATTGAATATTTAAGATCAACGGCTGCAGCCGCTGCTGCTGCTGCTGCTGCAGCAGCCGAAGAACCTGATGATGATGATGATGTTGTTATTGATGATGATCCTCCAGATGATTGTGATGGTTCACGTCCATAGCCACCACCTACAGCGGCAGCCGCAGCTGCCACTTGCATTAAATGTGCCTGCTGTTCATGTGCACTGGACAGGTGATTTAAATATGGTGATGATGAACCAGTGGCCATTTTTTTCTTTTTGAGAATTCAAAACTTTCGAAGAAGAAGAAGAAAAGATAAAGAGGGTATTTGTAGCTTTATTTTCAGGTTTTTTTTATTTCAAACACAAAATACACAGACACAATTGTTATACGGTGATTAAAATTTTTGATTTTTTTTTTGTTGTTGTCCAAATTGGATAACAATCTAATCAATCTAATCTGAACACAGACACCGCAAAAAAACGAAAAAGTCAAGTCATCAAAATGAAGGAACGAAAAAATTGTCAAAACTTTGATGTCACTTTGTCGTCGAAGATGTTTGATATGTTTTTTTTTCGCTGAATGGTAGATAGGATGTCTGTAAATCATTGCAGGTCAATTTGAACAGCAACAACAAAAAAAATAACGGTCAAAAAATCCAATTTTTTTTGTTTTTGCTTTCAAATCCAAAAATTTAATCAAGATAATTCGATAATTTTCGTCCTGGTTATAAAGGATAAAATAAACAACAAAAACAAAAATTTAAATTAAAAAAAAATTTATCCAAAAAATAAAAATAATAAAAAATTTATATCATTCAATTTGAAAATCAACCTGGGTAATTAATTGATGATAAAGTCATCATTTTATTGATAATGATCAAATCATTAAACTATAGGTCTCTTTTTTGTATTTTAAGCATTTTTTTAAATTGTTGACCTATGATAATAATTGAAAGTATTCCCGAAAAGTTTTTCGGAAATTTTCCCAAAAATTACTAATCAATAAAAAAGTTTTGCGATGAATTTTTTGTTTTGTTTTCATATTTTTTGCAATCGATATATGATATTTCGGAAGAGAAATTGATATATCCAAATATGAACAAACAAACAAACAAAAACCACCACCACCATCACCAAAACATCATTTTTTTATGATTGACCGATTTTATCCACCATGAATCATCAAAGCAAATCAAGAAAAAAAAACGGAAATTTTTTTTTTTGGCAACAGTGTTGGCCCCGGTGAACAACACAACATAACCTCTATGTGTGCATCATTTTCATGATTTCTTTGAATTTTCCTTTTTTTCCATCATACACACATCAATAAGTCAGGATTAGATAGGAGATTTGCTTAGCGAGAAAAAAAGGGGCAGAAAAAAAGAAGGCAGAAAAAATTCAATGGCCAATATTGTATAATTCATCGTGATCATCATCAAAACATCAGTTTTAGTCTCCATCATCATCGTACAACAGCCAATATCTTTACATCGACGACCGATCAATCGACGATCGACCAAGAGCAGTCAAGTTATCCGAATGAAAAAAAGAGAGTAGTATATATCTTCAGGATCAAGAAAGAAGAAAAAAACTAGCCAGCTAGCTAGTTTTTGGTCATCGCCGTCATCATCATCAACATTATCATCATCATGATCGTCGTCGTCGTCGTCGAAGACTTTGAAAACTTTGTCCAAAAACGATAACAACATTGAAATGAAATTGATTTGAAACGTTTTTATTTTACGTTTACGTTTTACGTTTCTTTGGATAATTTAGAAGAAAAAAAATTTAGCCATTCGATCAAAGATCAAGCAAAAGATGATGATGTTGATGATGATAGACAGCGGGATCAAATGAACAAAGTGTGGGGAGAAACAAAAACAAAGTGGGAAAATCATGGCTTCAATTCTTGAATGATGACGATTTGAAATACAAACGATGTTCATTCATTTCATTTACCTGGCTATTTTGTTTTTGTGTGTTTAGAATTGATAAATTGATTTGACAGCAATCGATATCTGAGTGCGAGAGAGATAGATAGATAGATTTCAAATTTAAAGCTCTGAATTAAGAAATTATTCGTTTTTTTTCCGTTAGATTTTTCTTTTCTCAATGTCCAACAAAATTGAAAGTAGAAATTTTGAAAAATTGAAACTTTTTTCTTGTCAGAAAAAAAACTTGCAAGACCAATCCTCTAGCTGCTGCTGCTTCTGATGTTGTTGATGATCAAAAACTTTAGATGTCAAAATAGCCAAAAAAAAATCAAAATCAAAAAACAGCAACTGTCAATCATTATTGAAAAAACATTTCTTTTGAAAAAAACAAAGATCATCAAATAAATAGCCATCAATGTTATTATAGTCGATATCGATACATCACTTAGTGATGAACGAAACAATACAGAAAAGAAGACAGAAAAATAATACCCACTGTGTTGTCCGATATGATGATGTTTTTTGATTGAAATAATCCTGACCTGTACACCAAAAATATCAATAGATGGATGACAATCATCCAACTATCAAGTAAAACAAAACGAAAATTTTGATTAACAAAATTCAAAATTTTCTAAATAATCAAATAAACAAATACCAGGATATTCATCATCATAATCATCGCATCAATATCAAGTCAGTCAATCAGTTTTTGAATATTTTCACTGTGTTGGTGTGTTATATTGTTAATCACCTGTCATATTCATCATCATCATCATAAGCAGCATGATCTCATCATCATCAACATCAAATATGATTGACAATCTTAAAAAGATTTTCCTATCTATTCTAACAAGGTGATTGCATCGATTTGACATTTTGACATTCTTCTTCTTACAATTTTTTTTTGATTCATTTCTATTCTCAGAACGATTAACAATGATTATCAATGATGATGATGATGATGTTAAGTTTTTTTTAATTAATTTAACTATTTTTTGATGTTGTTGTTGTTTAACAACATTTCAAAACAAATTAACAAAAAACGATGATCAGAAAAACAAATAGAAATAGAAATGACGCCTACAACAACAAATTGTATTTCATTCAAAAAAAAAAATTGAATGAAATACACTCAGCATGCTGCACTTTATTTACTCTTTTTTTCAAGGAAAAAATCGGGTAGGCGAACCCGAAAAAACCAAACAAAAACCGGACTAGGTAATCTCATTACACACACACATCGAATGTTTTTTTCACTAAATGATGATAGATCCAACAAGTGGAAAAAACAAACGAAACGAAAATGTAAACAATTTAAAATCATCATTGATGGTGGGCTAAATATTTTGTTGTTTGCAGCTAAATCAACAATATTGGCTTGAAAATTTTTTCCATTTTCACTCCGGTGGCCATTTTAAAATGACTACTAAAAAGCCAATCTTTGGTTTTTGATTGAAAAAAATTCAATTAAAGAATTTTTTAAAAATTCATTCTTTTTAGTTTGTTTTGATGAAAGAAAACTAGCCAAATAAACAAAACGCCTACACACACTTTATATAAAGACACTGGTTTTATTTTCTTGCTTGATTGAAGACGAAACAACAGCAACAACAAAAAACTATTATCAGAGATGTTTTAGCTTTAAGATTTTTTTTTTCGTTTGGTTGATTGTTGTTTATGTTTGTGATTTTTCGCGAAAATTCCGGTCGGTTTAAAAATCATCTACAAAAAACAGCATCAAAAATCAGTAGATGATAGCAGTGGTAGGCAAAAAAAATTAACAAAAAAAAACAGCTTGAAATTGAAATTGACACAAGGATTGACCTTTTTCTCACCTGGCCGATAAAATAGATTTTTTTTTCGTTTTTATTTCGAAGATGAATTAATGAATGAAAAAAGTTCAACAACAAAATTCAAATCGGTCATCATTATTCGTTTGGTTTTTTTCCTGATTTTTTCAATCGGGAAAAATCAGGAAAAATCAGCTGCACAAAATATCAAGAAAGAATTTCAATTTCATCGACAACCAAACAGGAGAAAAAAATCGAGAAAGAATTCTTTTTCAATTTGAAAGAAATTTGTTAAAAAAATTTAGTTTTTCATTCAATGAATCAATCAATTAATCAGAGTAACAACAACAACAACAAAATTAATCAGATAATCAACTGATATGGATATAGATGATCATCATCATCCGATCGATTTGATTTGATTGATTACACCAAATGGTTGGTCGTTTAACATCATCTGAATGGAAAAATCAATCCAAGAAAACTATCCTTGATATTTTTTTATAATCAAAAATTTTCAATTATTGATTATATTTGAAATGTTAGATGAGAAAATGAAAACTTGAAACATTGGTTAGTTGATTGGTGATGTTTTTCACTGATTGGTGAATGGGATTATCATCACCAAAAAAAAAGGAAAAAACCGTAGATCAAAAATCGTAAATCAAAAACCATTTAGCAAAATAATAAGAATAAAATCCACACCTTAAAAACGATTAATCGATCGATTAATTATTTTTTTATTCGGATTTTCATTCTTTCTAAAACTAATCCATCTTAGCTAAATCTATCAGCATTGTAATCCTGAATTTAAGCAGAAAAAAGAATTACTATCTTTAATTCGGATTTGTATTCGGTAAAATACGTGAATTGAATATTCATCATCAACAACAGCACGTACCTTTTTTTGTTATTGAGCTTATTGTCGAAATGATGACTAGGATGCGCAAATTAATTTATCGATTGATTTTTGTTGTTGTTGTCGTTGCAAATAAAAGTTTGACAATTTTGATATTTAAATTAAAATTTTCACAAATAACTGAACAGCACATTGAATCGAAGAAAAAACACCGATGTTTAATTGATTAGTTCAGATAATATCGATGATTATGATCATTATTATCTAAATCATCTTAATGTCGATGTTGTTATCATGTTTGTCGTTGTTGTTGTCATCTTTGTCATTGATGATGATGACAACAATTTTGATGATGATGTCATATCGACAACGATGATGATCATGATCATCTTCATCATCATCATCATCGCCATCATAATTAATTTTTATTTTTTCACTTTATAAATTTTAATATTTCAAAAAAAACAAAATTATTTTTCCTTTTTCGTTTGTTTGTTACGCTTTAATTTGTGTTCATTTCATATGTTTTACGAACATTCAGTGAAAAAAAAACACATGATGATAATGTTGTTGTTGATGGTCGTCAGCATTTTTTTCTTCTAATTCAAATGACTCATCTTCACTCATTAAATGATGCTTTCAATGAATTTTTTGGATCTTGTTTCTTCACTTATTTTGTCCAAATTTTTATGTGAAGCCAATTTTTTTCCTGAAAAGAAAAAGTAAAAAACAAAGTTAAATTTGAACAACTACAACAACATCAACAAAACACATTGATAGAAAAGATTAATTGATTTTTTTCACTGATGTTGATGATGATGGATCATCATCATCATCATCAACATCGGTTGAATTTCCTTGTGCAAAACTAAG